TATGTATCCCAAAGGATTGAAAACAGTATCAAAGAGTCCTGTGTTTATTGCTGCACCGTTCCCAATAACCAAGAGGTGGAAACAACTTAAATGTCCACCCGCAGATGAGCAGATAAAGAAAACATGGATGAACATAAAATGGGGCCTTATATTATTCGGGGTTTTTTTCTTTTTTCTTTTTCTGAGAGAGACAGCATGAGCAGGGGAGGGTCACAGAGAGACGGAGACACAGAATCCGAAGCAGGCTCCAGACTCAGCTGTCAGCACAGAGCCCAGCGCGGGACTCAGACCCACAAGCCACGAGATCATGGCCTGAGCCAAACTCGGATGCTTAACTGACTGAGCTACCCAGGCGCCCCTATTCGGCCTTAAAAATGAAGGAAATCTTGTCATGTATAACATAGACGAATCTTGAACATTTTAAGTGAAGTTACAAAAAGACAAATTATGTATGATTCCAGTTATATGAGGAATCTAAAGTAGTCACATTCCTAGAAATGAAATAAAATGGTGGTTGTCAGGGTCTGTGGGGAGGGGAAAGAGCGTGTTACTCAGTGGGTATAGAGTTTCAGTTTCCAAAATGAAAAAGTTCAGGAGACCTGTTGCATAACAGTGTGCATATAGGGAGCCCTGCTATACCTTATGTTTAAAAAGGGTTAAGGGGCCCCTGGATGGCTCAGTTGGTTAAGTGTCTGACTTTGGCTCAGATCATGATCTCATGGTTCATGGGTTCGAGCCCCGCATCGGGCTCTGTGCTGACAGCTCAGAGTCTGGAGCCTGTTTTAGATTCTGTGTCTCCCTCTCTCACTCTCTGCTCCTCCCCTGCTTGGCGTTCCATCTCTCTGTCTCCAAAATAAATAAACATTAAAAAAATAAGAACTACATTGTTGATAAGCCTAAGTTTTCTGCAGAGATCTAAAATTTCTGGAAAATTTAAGTTGGGGCAAGGATGTTTTTCTTCAGGAGGAGAAATAGGCTAAACTAATACTTTAAGATGCTCCTTAAGAAATTTACCATTACTTTGTTAACTTAGGAATAGAAAAGACTCTTTCTGTTTTTACAGGTTTCTGGTCTTTATTTAGAAAGAACCTGAGGAAAGAACATCCTTGTTTCCTGTAGAATAACTATTTTGTCATCACCAAGTGAGGTCTGTGTGCTGCTGGGTTCACTTTGCTAGTGTTTTGTTGACCCTCATTCACATCTTCGAAATATCAGGAGGGATATTATTGGTCTGAAATTTTCTTGTAATACCGTTGTCAGGTGTTTTTTTTGGTATCGGGTTTAGGCTGGTCTCAAAAATGAGTTGGCGATCATTCCCTCTTCTGTGAAAGAGTTTCCATAAGGCAGGTGCAAACATACCTCATTTTATTGTCCTTTGCTTTATTGCACTGCGTTTTTTCCTTCTTAAATAGCTTTTTTTCCTTAAACAGTTTATACACACTGCGTTTTTTAACATGTTGAAGATTTATGGCGTTCCTGTGTCGAGCAAGTCTGTTGATGCCCTTTTTCCAACAGCAGTTGCTCACTTTGTGTCATATTTTGGTAACTCCCACCCTATTTCATACCTCCTCATTATTACTACATTTGGTGTAAGGATCTGTGATCCGTGATCTTTGATGTTGCCATTGTAATTGTTTCGGGGTTGCACAGACCCCGCCCTTGCAAGATGATGAGCTTCCTTGATGAATGTTGTATGTGCTCTACCTACCGACCATCCCCCACCTCTTCTCCTCTCCTCTGGCTGCTCTCTTCCCCGAGACACAGCAATATCCAAAGCAGGCCAGTCAGTAAGCCTACAGTGGCCCCTAGGCGCACCCGTGAAAAGAGAAGTCACAGATCTCTCACTTTGAATCCACAGCTAGAAGTGATGAAGCTTAGCGAGGAAGGCACGTGGACCGCTGCGACAGACTGGAAGCTAGGTCTTCTGTGCCGAACACCAGCCAGGTTGCGAGTGTGAAGGGAAAGTTCTCGAAGGACATTAAAAGTGCTCCTCCAGTGAACACAGAAATGACGAGAAAGTGAAGCAGTTTTATTTCTGATACGGAGCAAGCGTGAGTGGCCTGGACAGAAGAGCAAACTGGCCACATTCCCTTAAGCCTAAGTCTGATGCAGAGCAGGGTTCTACAATTCTCTTCAATTTTATGAAGACTGAGAGAGGTGAGGAAGCTGCAGAAGAAGAATGAGAAGCCGCAAAGGTGGGGGGGGGGGCGGGGGTAAGGAAAGAGGCTGTCTCCGTAACATAAAACTACAAGGTAGGCAGCAAGTGCTGACATAGAAGCTGCAGCACGTTCTCCAGAAGGTCTACCTTGGATCATTCATGAAGGTGGTGCAGTGTAGACAGAACAGCTGTCTGTGGAAGACGCGTGCCCTCAGGGACTTGGACGCCCAGAGAGAAGGCAGTGCCTGGCTTCCCAGCTTCAGAGGAGAGGCTGAGTCTCTTATCAGGGGCCAACGCAGCTGGTGGCTCCAGGCTGATGCTCACTGGCCATTCTGAAGATGCTGGGACCCTTCAGAATTAGGCTAAATCCACTGTGCTCTGGAAATGGAACAAGGCCTGGGTGATAGCACCTCTTTTCAACACGGTTTCCTGAATATTTGAAGCCCGCTGTTGAGACCTTCTGCTCAGGGTGGGGCGGGAAAGGAGGAAAGATTCCTTTCAAGCATTGTTACTCATTCACTGATAACGCTGCACGGTCCCCCAGGACCTCTGATGGGGGATCGTGCATGGAGGGGACTGCTTTTGACCTCCGTTCCACGGCCTGTGGATCAAGGAGTCCTTCTGACTTTCAAGTCTTCTATTTTAAGAACTACATTTCAGAAGGGTGTGGGTGCCCAGATTCCTCTGATGGATCTGGGCAAAGTACGTTAAATTCCTCCTAGAAATGGGAAGCCAGTAAGAACAATGGGAAGGGGTCAGAATACCAACATCTGTAGGCGTTTGGAAGAAGCTGATTCCCACCCTCGAGGATGACTTTGGGGGCTCGAGGACGTCCGTGGAGGCGGTCACGGCGGATGAGGTGGAAACAGCGAGAGAACCAGAACGAGATGGGACCCCTGGAGGTGGACAGCGTGGCTGCGATCTCGTGATGGCACGTGATCGGGTGAGGACCACGTCTCACACGGAATCTGCTCCTGGTGAAGATGCCGTGAAGGTTGCTGAGATGACAACACAGGATTTGGAATGTCACACAGACGTAGTGGATAAAGCAGCAGCAGGGTTTGAAAGGACTGGTTCTCATTTTGAGGAAAGTTCTGTGGCTGAAATGCTCTCACACAGCATCTCCTGCTGTAGAGAAATCAGTCATGAAAGAAAGAGTCCATCATTGTGGCAGACTTTATGGCCTCTTCTTACGAAGTTGCCGCAGCCACCCCAGCGACCTTCATCACCCACTACCCCGACCAGTCAGCAGCCGTCGACAGTGAGCCAGCACCCTTCCCCAGCAAAGAGATTATGACTCAATGAAAGTTTAGATGACGGTTTGCTTTTTTTTTTTTTTTTTTTTAGCAATGAAGTATCTTTTCATTAGGGTATCTGCATTTTTCTGAACACAGTGGTATCGCACATTTAATAGAGTATAATGTAAACCTAACTTATCTGTGCACTGGGAGACCAAAAATGTCATTTCGCTGGTTTTATTGCAGTGCCGACTATCGTGTGGTAGTCTGGAACTGAACCCACAACATCTCTGTGGCATGCCTGTATCTAGGATTTTTCAGTTTTTCACGATCTCCAATAACTCTAGAAGTGACTGTTTTTCAGAAGTTGGGATTACAGAGGCAGAGGCCATAGAGGCTCTTATACTGTTGGGTTTCTTTCTGGGAATGAATATCTGTTTATGTTTATTCTTGCTCATGTTTTTCAAAGGCCAGGGTAGAATGTAAATGTTTCTGGAATAATAGGCTGCCCACCACAGTTACAATCTGTAGGATGCAGCTTGAGTGTAATGCTACAGAATATTTTTCTTCACTTCATTAGAGGCAACGGCTTAGTAAATTTCATTGTTTAATCATGAAGGGTTTTGGTTCATTGAACACACACAGAATTCAGTTCTGCAGCATTTGTCATGTATCTGTCATGTGTCAGGCAGGTTGCTTGATAGAGAAATAAAATGAAAAAAAAAAAAAATTTCTACCTGCCAAGATTTTAGACCCTAGAAAAAGACCCACCATCGTCTAAATATTTTATGGTGTCATAAACTGTACTTAGAGTGGATCTAGAAAGTGCCGATGGATTGAAGAGAGGGATTATTTGTGCCAGGGGTTGGGGGTGGGAGGAATAGCATTTGAGCGGAGCCTTCAAGAATAGACTGTCATTAGGGGAAGCATGAGTGAGTGCAGTCGTGTCAGGGAGAAACGACATTTAAGGGCATAATAAAGATTATTTAGAATGTGGAAGATAGTTAGGGTTCTATAGGAAAAAAACTTAACACCAAATTTGCAGGTAATTTTCTTCCCTTTCTAGGATACACAGTCATTTTTCTTAATTTGGAGGTATTCCTTATCTCCGGCAAACACCTTTCGCGGAATGGTCTTTAATGCTTTCGTTATTGCGTCACTCTGTTATTGAATCATGTAGACGGATAGAACAGATGGATTTCAGTCTCCACTCACATCCAGAGGAGTTCGCAGCTCTAAGGAACTGGTTTTCCCCCCACCAGTCACAGGCTCCGTGTACAGTTAGCCTCATCACTAGGGACCTAGGTTTCAGAATGAGGATTTCTTAACAGCCGACCGATGTCATTCCATCTTGAAGCCATATCGAGCACGAGTTAGATGTATGTGGTTTGTTGATGATGAGCCGGGTGGGACAGTCTTCAGACGTTCCGAATGCTGCTTTGCCAATAGAAAAATAATTGGTAGAAATGGGCAAAACCGGGCAGTGCTGGGCAATTGAAACTATTAATTGTCTGTTAATGGAATCCTTAAGTGTGTGATGGTTCTTTTAAGGACGTGGCGTGAACGTCTTGTGTGAAATTGTGTTTCCGTGTTTATTTGAATAGGATGAAAGTTAAAAAACTGCCCATGATTCTAGCTCTACACCTGAAGAGGTTTAAATACATGGATCAACTTCATCGATACACAAAACTGTCTTACCGGGTAGTTTTTCCTTTAGAACTTCGTCTGTTCAACACCTCCGGCGATGCAACCAATCCTGACCGAATGTACGACCTTGTCGCCGTGGTGGTTCACTGTGGAAGGTAACTGCGTCCGTGGGGCGGGCGTTCGGGGTGGTCCCAGTGCACCTCTTCCAGAGGCTCTGGCAGGATCTTAAGGTTGTCACATTAGGATAGCTACGGCAAGATGGATGTTGCAGATACAGGGCATTTATCATTGCCTCCTAAAACTTTTGTATAGTGAAATATTATTGTATTGAAATACCATATGAGGTCCTGCGCCTGTGTGGTCACACAGCTGCTAGGTGGGTATTGCTCACCATAACTTACTGCTGTGTCTGGTATTCTGTTTATCAGTTTCTATATCTCTTTCCCTATGAGAACAGGCAGTTCTTAAAACAGGAAATAATTTGTCCAGTAACAAAAGGTGAACGACAACAGTCGGTTGAACATCTGACTCTTGATTTCAGCTCGGGTCATGATCTCCTGGTTCGTGGGTTCAAGCCCCATGTCAGGCTCTGCACTGTCAGCGCAGGATTCTCTGTCTCCCTCTCTCCCTGCCCCTCCCCTGCTCGTTCTCACTCTGTCTCAAAATAAATAAATAAACTTAAAAAATAGATTAAGAACATTTAAAAATCTTTTTTTATTTTTTCTCAGGTTTGTTTGTAGTTCTGTCCTGTGAGAGCACAGAGGGTTGACCTGGCCTGTGTCCTTAACTGCTGAGGACACTCATGCTCATGCGTCCTCTGTCCTGAATGTCTGATGCGTAGAAGATTTCTAACAGGCGCTTGCGGAATTACAAGTGTGGCCCTTTCAGCCTGTCTCAGGCCCCAGCTCAGCTGGGACCCACCTTCCTTGATTCCTCAGCCCTCCCCCTCCCACCACCTCTCTCACTGGATGGGATCTGGGCCTTTCACTACCCCTGCAGCTCTGCTTTCATATTGTTTTGCCCTGTACTGTGTTTCTGGAAGGTTATCTGCTGTCCTGACGCGTGTCTTCAGGGCAGGAAGCGGTGGAGTCCTAATGCCCACAGAAAACAACACAGTTCTTTGCACCCAGTAGGCATTCACACCTGCTGAAGTGAGCGTGTTTTATGTTCAGAATGCAAATCCCTAAAAAACGGCCTTCCTGGGTGTAAGTGTGTTAGTTAGCCTCCGCCCTTCCTCATCGTATTTGTTTCTGTAAGCGGCCTCTGTCTGTTGTGCTGCAAACTACCTGTCGGCCAAAGGAAAAAGCCAGGCTCCTAAGGCCTCACTTTTTCGTCTCCCACCTGCTTCCCTCCCTCTCAGGCTCTGTTCCTCAGCCTTTCTGTGATTCTTTCTTCATTTTCACCACCTTAAAAAATTAAAGAAAAACAAAAACAAAAACAAAAAACAACAACAAAACCTTAGCCTCTTACTATAAAACCTAAGATTCTTTAGATGAACCCCTAGAGAAATGGAGAAAATATGCTTATGTTAGTTTTTATTTCAGAATTTATTTCAGAATTAAAAGCCTTCTTAAAAAATGGTTCTGAGGGGTTTTTGTCTGTGGAGAAAGAGCAGTTGGTCCTCTTGGTGTCCGTTGTCACCTGGGTGCCCAGCGCCCTCACCGGGCCAGAGGGGCCGACCCCTGGGGCACCGAGGCTGCCTCTGCTCCTGGTGCCACTTTTAAGGTAATATTCCCGTTAACAGTACTTTGTGTGGAAAATTCTCTCAAATCCTATACAGTGGAATTATAATTTAATGAAGAATTATGTAGAAGCTTTTATAATGAATCATACTTGAACTAGGAGAGGTTAAAATCTTTGCCATGTCTTTTATAAAGCAAAGGATTTCTTTTTTGTTTTAAGAAATAGTCCCACATGCATTTTTGTGCATTGCTGGATTTCTTTATTCCAGATTTGTTTCAAAGGAGATGCAGAGACTTTAATAATGGTACTAAGATCTAGGTACTTAAAAATAGCACTAATAATACTAAATGTCATTTGGTTTTAATTAATTAATTAATATTATTAATTTATCTATCTGTCTATCTGTAACGTTTATTTTTGAAAGAGCGTGACCAGAGGAGGGACAGAGAGAGCGAGACACAGAATTCAAAGCAGGCTCCAGGCTCTGAGCTGTCAGCACAGAGCCTGATATGGGGCTTGAACCCATGAACCATGAGATCATGACCTAAGCTGAAGTTGGATGCTTAGCTGACTGAGCCACCCAGGTCCCCCAAAATGTCATTTGTTTTTAAAGAAGTCTATGAAGGTCAAGCTTGATTAGATTTGCTATCTTTGCTTTTTTAACTGTCATGTGATACCTTTTCTCAAGAGAAAAAGTTCTCCTAAGAGAAGACGACTTTGAAAGAAATTTTACATGTGTTGTTCTGTAGTTTAGCTCAGGCTGGAACCCCCCCATTCCCCTCCCAAAATGCTAGAAAAATGTATTTATATCTTTTGTAGACACAAATTTGAAAAGTACTTTAAAAATAATAATTAAAAGTTATTTCAGAGACATAATGTGAATAGTGTAACTTTATATTAAATAGGATACTGATTTATATAAATGGGATACTGATCTCAGAGTAGAGTGCTAATTATTTAATTTTAAAATAGAATGCCAGTTCACATCAATGTAGCTTGATAGGGGGCAGAATAGGTAAGGAGTGTGTTTATCGGTTTCAGTTATTCTGCTTCATAGAACATGGAACTCAGGGCTTAGAAGACTGACGTTATTCAACACTGTATAAAATTATCATTTCTTTCTCTCTGTTTCAGTGGTCCCAATCGAGGACATTATATCGCAATAGTTAAGAGTCATGATTTTTGGTTGCTGTTTGATGATGACATTGTAGAAGTAAGTAGTTCCCTGAATTTCTTACGTTTCTTCAGAGTTGGGTGTGTATTTCACTCTGCTCTTGTTTCTCCCGGCCTCTCCTTTGTATGACAGGTGACGAATTTTTAGACGACTGCTGAGGTCTTCAGGTTGTCTGAAGCCTGCTTCTTACTCCCCAGCAGGCCATCCCCATGCTTGATCAGTCAGGTAACCTTTAAAATGCTTAGGATGAAACAAAAGCTCTCGACCACAGAGCTAGTTAAAAAAGAAAAAAGTTTTCATTGTTAAAAACAACTTTGAGGTTGGAAAAAAATACTGAGTTATACATAAAGTACACAAATCTTAAGCAACAACTTGAATTTTTATGTGAATGTGCACGCACACATGTATACGTGCTTGTACACACAGTGTGACCACTGTCCAGATGAAGACAGAGTACATTTTCTTTCTTTCTTTTTTTTTATATCAGACAACCTAGATTTTATTTATTTTATTTATTTATTTTTTTAATAGTTTATTGTCAAGTGGAGTACATTTTCAGTGAGCCTCCTTACCCTCTTTCTAGTCAGTTCCACCCTTCTACCCACCACCCCCTTCACCCACTATTTTGACTTCTATCCTTATCATTGTTTTGCCTCTATTTGAATATAAGTGGAACTCACCCAGTATGACTTCTTTTGTGTTTGCCTTTTTCACTCATTGTATCTAGCAGTTCATTCCTGTTGCCAAGAGTAGTGTTTTCTTTGTTCTTGCCGAGTGACTTCCCATTGTAAGCACAAGACATGTTAGAAACTTGCCTTTTCCTCTCTTACTGAAATAAAACTGCCTCGATTACCCTTGTATAAGCCTTTTGCTAGACACACACACTCATTTTTCTTGGGTGTATATTAGGGTGGTTGGATCACATGAAATTGCCATTTTCGCAGGTCCTAGATGGTTGGGAATTTGTGGTTTCTTATTGTCCAGGTAGAAATTCTGTTACCCGGGGAGCAGAATTGCCAGATCAAAGGGCACTTGTGTGTTCAGCTTTAGAAGACAACGTTAAACATTTCCCCAAAGTCTCTGCGCCATTTTCCATTCCTACCAGCTGGGCCCCAGAGTCCTGTTTGCCTCGTGTCCTCCCCAATACTTGACACCAGCAGTCTTTTTAATTTAAGCTCTTCTTACCATGCAGAGCTGTTCTAGAGACCGAGTAAAAGACCCGATTCTAAGAAACGTGGAAGGCTTTACTGGATCGGAGTGGTTCCGAGAGCCCATTTCTGTACTAACGTTTCCATTTTGCCCCGCAGAAAATAGACGCACAAGCTATTGAAGAATTCTACGGGTTGACATCAGATATCTCAAAGAACTCTGAGTCTGGTTACATCCTTTTCTATCAGTCTCGGGACTGAGGGGGACCGTGATGAAGAGATACTTTCTGCCTCATTTCTTCTCTGGTTATTTCGGAAAGGATCAAGCACTGATTTTTCAAGAAAAGAGAGATGCAGGAAGCTCAGGGGGCAGTAGCACACTTTGCACACAATAAAGCAAAGACTCTGGATTAACACGCTCTTCCTATCATGGTAGTTGATTTATTTGCTCAGGTATCAGGCCATCCGCGCAGTTCCACCCAACCAGGAAGTGAGATCAGAGATAGCAGCTCCTCTCGCGAAACCGCCTTCCAGTAACTGACACGTGTGTTCTCTTTATTCGCTGCACCAGTAGTGGTTTGGACTCCTTGGGGGTGCGGGAGAAAGAACAGGAATCTGTGCTAGGTTGTTGTCGATCGTTTTCGGGAGATGACACGGACCGCGCTGCGTACGCTTGCCCGTGTCGCACGTGCACAGAGCTGTACGCGGTGGTCTTTTCAGGCGTCAACTAGAACTACATTCGGGCCCAACACTTACGGTTGCCTTCCTGATGGAAACACGAACAGACGACTAGAACCCAGTGTCAGGAAGGCAAATAATGTTTTGCTTCTCTGAAGAAGCTTATAATAATATACAGTATATGTATATGTAGGGAACAATTGGTCAAAAGTGGCTCTTTGTTTCCCCCAGGGGAAAGGCTGGCTTTGTAAGTATAATTTTTTTTTCTTATTTATTTTACTGAAAACTGGTAGAGTTCTAAGTAGCGTATGAAGTGCCCACGATTCTGTTAGTAAATTGGAGCTTATTTTTATTAGTTTTTGTCAGTTTGAGCTTGTCCTTTGGTTTGTTTCTATTTCTGAAGTGGATTTTAAACTATTCTAAATCAGGCGATAACCTTCAGAAAAATTGCAGTGAGAGGAGGTGAGTACTCGTTTGCAGGAGGCACTGATATCTCTGGCTAAACGGTGGTCCTTTCGACCATAGTTTAGAAGTCAGTTATTTTACTCAGCTTTAATTTCGAGACATAAAAACCTATCAAAAATCCCCTGTCGCGGTTGGAACGATGGAAGAAATTCTGGTGCGGTGGTGGCCCACCAGTCCTTAGGGTTCGTAAAAATTCTCGCGTTTCGCGTTGAAGCCGTGTTTGGAAAACCTGCGTCCTGGCAGTTAGCATTCTCTTCAAATGTCATTCTTTACCCTGGAGAGAAGGAATCTGGCATGACCCCAGCAGCCTGGCCACCTAGCTGCAGACCACACGAGGATAAACGCTGAAGGAAGCAGACCAGGAAGACACGAAGCAAGTCCCTTCCTACCCCACCCCACCACCCATCTCCCCGTTCATCTTTGCAAATCGTACCGGAAGAGTGTTTGGAAACTAAGCTCTGCATCTGTTAAGACTTCCCCGTCGGGGGTTCTAAGAAGTAATATATGTAATGTAAAATGTATGTAAGCCGTCGCGGTTGACGCTTTTCCGCGCAGCAGTGAGTTGGCTGATGGTGGCCGAATGTAACGTTCAGAAAATAATTGAATATATATTCAGAATACTAGCAATCAGGCCTTGGGTGTTCTTTAAGTCTTTTTAGGCGGTAATTTTTTTTTAATTGCTGTAATTTTCTAAACTTATTTTACTAATACTGTTGAATATGGGAAAAAAACACGAAAAAATTTTTTGTCTGCTGCTATTTATTAACATTTTATTATCTGTATCTTTTTAGCTCAGGAAATGACTTCACCTATTCGTTCCGTGAACCGATCTTTAACAGGGTCACTTGGCTAATTGGGCTGTTTCAACAGATACGCTGGGAGAAAATGATGTATTTTGACAGCTTGCTTTTTAAGATACGGTTGCTAAAGCCTTACGCGGCCGGCCGGAATGGGTTTCTACAAATTACAGAGCCCGCCTGACGACAGCATTGCACAGAGACTCACAACGGAGAATGTGAGTCTCCATTAGTACAGCTGCAAGGTCACAGGACGGGGGAAGTGGACACTTTTTTTTTTTTTTTTTTTTTTAATTTTGAGGGCTTAAACCAAATTGTCTTGGAATTTGAGGCTGTGTTTCTGCAGCTTTCCGCGCATGCAGAGAAAGAAGCGAAGCGAGGCTGAGTCTGTTTTTTTACACGAATAAGGCCACAGCGTGTTGAAGAAAGATAGATGAAGTCATTTGCATAGAGGTACAGCACTGGAATACCATGCTGTATTTGTTTCTACATTTTGCATTTTAAAAACTACAGTTAAGAGGCAAGGTCAAGTTTTCATATTAAGGCAAGTTCTAGCATTTTTCTGGTAGTTACACCCTGTTCACATCCACACCGTGTTTGATAGTGTGATTTGTCAGGGGCGGGGCCGTGGGGGTTATCGTTCTCAATTTCCTCTTTACTCTTAGTACAGCTGCATCTACATGAAATGTTTGGAAGCTTCTCAGAAACTCAGTATCCTTTAAAAACCTAGGGTTAGGGTTGGGGACAAAAAAAATGCAGGTATGGTAAGAAAAGTGAGCCGTATAGAAAGCATCGTGAGATTGTCAGTTGGCAGTGATTGAAATGAGGGGGTGGGTTTCCGTTGTAAATGGTGGCTGATCGCTCTCTAACTATGTACATGTTTGTTGGGATGGCTGTCCCATATTTTGTATATTGGAATAAAAATTTCTATAAATTATCGTAACTGAAAGTAAATATTCTAAGTTAAGTCTCACTGCTCAGTCACACGGCTTCCGGCTTGGGAACTTCACCAGTAGAAGATTGCTCAAGACGGGGGCCGTGAGACTCCGGGAAAAGGGGAAAAAGGAAATGGGTAACACATGGGTCCTGTTGCCTCGAACCATCAGCGTCGGATTTTTCTTTTCTGGGATGGCAGTAGAAAGACCTCGCGTCCATAACATACTACTCTTGATACTTTCTTTAAGGACACTTTTCATTAACGATTCTCTCATGAGGTATTAAACTAGGAGCCGGGAGGCTAAGGCGCTCAGGTCCTGGCCCTTCAGTGAATTTAACTGTGTGACCTTGGGCAAGTCACTTAACCTCTCTGTGCTTCAGTCTCCCTGTCTTGTAAAACGGGAGTAATACCTACCTCACAGGGTTGTTGTGGGGATTAATTAGATACAATGTCTGTAAAGCATCTAAGGTTCTTGAAGAAGGCGCTATATAAATACAAAATAATATTAAAGTTGGTTTATTTGTGCTCGTGGGTTTTTAAGTGTGTTTTTTCCTTTGTGCCTAAAATGTCTTTGTGAATTAGAAGTACAGACCCTTGAACGACATGGGTGTGAATGGCGTGGGTCCTACTTGCAAGCAGATTTTTTTTTTTTCCGATAAATACAGTATAGTAGTACTGTGAACCTATTTTCTCTTGGGATTTTATGAACACTTAACTTTTCTCTAGCTTTACTGTGAGAACACAGTATGTAACACGTATGCAGAATATGTGTTAACCGCCTGTTTATGTTATTGGTAAGGCCTCTGGTCAAGAGTCGGCTATGCAGGGGCGCCTGGGTGGCTCAGGCAGTTAAGCGCTTGGTTTCGGCTCAGGTCATGACCTCATGGTTCATGAGCACTGACTGCAGAGCCTGCTTGGGATTCTCACTCTCTCTCACTCTCTCTCCTCCTCTCTGTCTCTGCCCCTCCCCACTTGCTCTCTTTCTCTCTGAATCAGTAACTTAAAAAAAAAAAAAAGTTTTTAATAGTTAAGTTTTGGGGGAGTTGAAAGTTTAACCTGGATTTTTTTTTTTTTAATGTTTTATTTATTTCTGAGAGAATGAGACAGCGTGAGCAGGGGAGGGTCAGAGAGAGAGGGAGACACAGAACCTGAAACAGGCTCCAGGCTCTGAGCTGGCAGCACAGAACCTGACATGGAGCTCGAACCCACCAACCGTGAGATCATGACCTGAGCCAAAGTCGGACGCTCAACCAACTGAGCCCCCAGGCGCCCCTGGATTGCACAGACATGGTGCCCCAACCCCTGTGATGTTCAAGTGTCAACCGCATACACTTGGGGAACTGCCTTTACTGCTCTTGCTGGAAACCTACTGCTTTTCTTGGCCAAAGAGATATTCCCAGAACAGCATTCCACGTGTGTAAAACAGCACCTGTGATCACGTGCCTGCGTGTAATCCTCACGTACCTTGAGTCGGTCTTCACATAGTAGCATTGGCTTTCCAGAAATCCCAAGTTTAAACATGTAAATTTAGAGTCATAGGAGCTTACTGGGGCAGACACCTTTAAAAGGCGCTGTTCTTAGTGCTCCTTATCCCTTCCAGCGTAGTGATTGCTCCTGTGAAATACGTGACTTGTGAATCTTCACCCTGTGCCTGAGTACTTGCAGCCCTGCTCTGTTGTTCAGTGACTTATTGGCTCCATACGGTGCCTTTATTGATATTGCCTTTATTTGTCATCCACTGCTCTTCATTCCTTCAGTCCTGGTAACTCTCTTATTTATTCATCTCTCTGGAAGAATGTTCGTAGAATAAGCACTGTAGCAGGTGAACTAGACCGCCAGTGGGGACCTAAGACGGCGTTCACTTTCTTAAACGTCTGTATCACATGTTTCATACGGAACTAGTAATAAATGAAATTTGCTGTACTCAAGAGAGCTCTTCACGAACCTTCCCTCCCTTTGTTCAAGTGTCTTTGTTCCCCAGCACCTGTTCGTGTTATCTTGAAGCTTTTTTACCTTTGTTCATTTATGTTTTTCTACAATAACCTACTACCATTTTGTATTTCCAGAGCTGCTAAAGGAACCCGTCATTTGTTAGTTAGCAGGATAGGCCCTACACTCCACGTTTTACTTTTTCTTACCAATCTCTACGATGACCTCTGTGAATGAATTAGTGATCTCATTTTACAAAAGAAGAAACTAAAATTTCCCAGCGGTTGGGTAATTTTCCCAGAGTCCCTCAGCCAGCAAATAGCAGATCCCGGTTTCAAATAGGTGTAACTTCATCGCCAGTCTCTCCTCTGTGGCTTTCGTCATCAAAGGGTTTTCTTTTATGGTGGAAAATTCACATGACCTGAAGTCTTCCATTTTTACCATTGTAGAGTGTGCGGCTAAGTGACGTTAAGCACATTCATGTTGTACAGCTGTCACCACTGTCCATTGCTAGGATTTTTCATCTTCCCAAATAAACTATCTACCCATTAAATACTAACTCCCCATTTCCCCAACCCCAGCCCCTAGTCACTTTTCTGCTTTCTGTCTTTATGAATTGGATGGCTCTAGGTAAGTCCTGTAAGTGAAATCCTACAGTATCTGTACTCTTGTGGCTGGCTTCTTTCACTTCGTGTGTCAAGATTCATTGATGTTGAAGTGTGTCAGAATCTCCTTCCTTGGGGTGCCTGGGTGGCTCAGTCGGTTAGGCGTCTGACTTTGGCAGGTCGTGATCTCACGGTTCATGGGTTCGAGCCCCACGCCGGGCTTTGTGCTGACAGCCAGCTCAGAGCCTGGAGCCTGTTTCAGATTCTCTGCCTCCCTCTCTCTCTGACCCTCCCCTGCTCATGCTGTCTTTCTCTCTCTCTCTCTCTCTCTCTCTCTCTCTCTCTCTCAGAAATAAATAAAACATTAAAAAAACAAAAAGAAAAAGACTCTCCTTCCTTGTTAAGACATCGTAATCATCCATTGTGTGTGTGTGGGGGGGGATATGCCCCATTTTCCTTCGTGTCTCGATGGACATTTGGGTGGTTTCCACTTTTTTTTTTTTTAAGATTTTTTTAATGTTTATTTTAGAGAGAGGGAGAGTACATGAGCAGGGGAGGAGCAGAGAAAGAGGGGGACACAGAATCCGAAGCAGGCTCCAGGCTCTGAGCTGTCAGCACAGAGCCCGATGCGGGGCTCAAACCCACGAACTTCGAGATCGTGACTTGAGCCGAAGTTGGACCGTCAACTGACTGAGCCACCCAGGCGCCCCTGGTGGTTTCCGCTTCTTAGCTGTTGTGAGTAATGCCGCTGCCACCATGAACGTGGACATACAACTCTCTGTTGGAGGCCCTGACTTCAGTCCTTTCAGGTATATTGAAATTGCTGGGTCATATGATAATTCTAGGTTTAACTTTTCAGGGAACTGTTTTCCATGCATTTTTCTACAACAGCTACACCTCTTTCCACTCCCACCAGCAGTGCACTTGGGTTCCAGTTTGTGTATAAACACTTGCTTCCTCCTCTGGAATGAGTTCAGGGGTGCCCATCCCAGCTGGTGTGATGGGGTGTCTCCCCGTAGTTTGGATTTGCATTTCTCCAATGATTAGTAATGTTGAACAGCATTTCATGTGCTTATTGGCCATTTGTACAACTAGTCTACTCAAAGCCTTTGTCTATTTTTTTTTTAATTGGGTTGTGTGCTTTTAAAAATCGGATTGCTTATGTGTAGGGGCTCTTTTTTCTTTTAATTTTTTTTAACGTTTATTTATTTTTGAGACCGAGAGAGACAGAGCATGAGCAGGGGAGGGACAGAGAGAGAGGGAGACACAGAATCTGAAACAGGCTCCAGGCTCTGAGCTGTTAGCACAGAGCCCAATGTGGGGCTCGAACCCACGAACCTCGAGATCATGACCTGACCCGAAGTCAGGTGCTTAACTGACTGAGCCACCCAGGTTCCCCAGTATAAGGGTTCTTTAGAAGTTCTCAGTGTGAATCCCTTTTCAGATAGATGTTTTCTCCCATTCTGGGAGTTGTCTCTTCACTCTCTGATGGAGAGTGTCCTTTGATGCATGAAAGTTTTTAACATTGACATGGTCCAGTTGATCACCTGTGCCTTTGGCGTCCTAAGAAATCACCAAATCCAGACTTTTCCTCTGTGTTTTCTATTAAGCACTTTCTATATTTTAGCACTCACGTTTGGGGCTTTGATCTATTTTGAGTTAATTTTTAAATACGGTGTGAGGTAGGAGTCCAGCTTCATTCTTCTGCATGTGGACACCCAGTTTTCCCTGCACCACTTGTTGAAAAGACTGTTCTTTCCCCATTGAATGACATTGGCTCTTTTGTCAGAATCCATCGGCCATATATGTGAGGGTTTATTTCTGGGCTCCATTCTGTTCCCCTTGGCCACTCCCACACTGTTTTCATTACTGTAGTAAGTTTTGTGTGAGGCCTCCAACTTTGTTGTTCTTTTTAAAGATTGTTTTGGCTGTTTGGGGCCCCATGAAATTTCATATGAATTTTAGGATATTTTTTAAAAATGTGTGCAATAATTGCTACTGAGTTTTTGATAGGAATTGAATTCAATCTGTCTTCCAATCCATGAACATGGGATGTCTCCAAATTTATTTATGTTGCCTTTAATTTCTTTTTTTTTTTTAATGTTTATTTATTTTGAGAGGGAGGGAGGGAGGGAGGCATGGAGGGACAGAATCCTAAGCAAGCTCCACGCTGTCAGCACAAAGTCTGATGTGGGACTTGATCTTATGAATTGTGGGTGAGATCATAACCGGAGCCGAGATGAAGAGCCACACCCCTAACCCACTAAGCCACCCAGGTGCCCCGCCTTTAATATCTTTCAGCAATGTTTTATAGTTTTCAGTGTGCCAGTGTTTTACTTCCTTGGTGAAGCTTATTCCTAAGTATTTTACTGGTTTTGATGCTACTGTAAACGGATCATTTTCTTAATTTCCTTTTTCAGACCGTTTGTTAGTGCATAGAAATGCAACTGAGTTTTGGATATTTTATACCTTGCAACTTGGCTGAATTTGTTCTAACAGTTTTGGGCACAGTCTTTAGGATTCTCTACATAAAAGATCATACCATTTGCAAACAGTTCATCTTTTTCAAATTTGCATGCCTTTTCTTTCTTTTTCTTGCCTCACTGTCCTGGCTAGAACTTTCAACACTTCATCAAATAAACATGGTGAAATCTGACATCCTTGCCTTGTTCCTGATCTAAGAAAAAAAGCTGCTCGCACCGTTGAGTGTGATGTTAGCTCTGCGTTCTGCATAAAGTGTGTGGCCTTCATCCTTTGAGGAAATTCGTCTCCCCTATCTCTAGTTTGAATGTCTCGAGAAGGAGTATTGAATTTTGTGAAATGCTTTTTCTGTATCATTGAGATGGTCAGTGGGGAAGGGAGGTCTGCTTCATTTCGTTAATGTATCATTTTGTCAGTGTATGACCGCGATTTTCATACGTTGAACATTCCTTGCGTTTGGGGAGGAAATCCTATGTGATCTTGGTGTATAATCCCCTTTAATATGCTGCT